AATGAATCTGTGAATGAATAAAGAAAGGGTGTTGGCCATGCAATCTGCAGCCTATGTGACTAGGAGACCAGAAGAACTAGATGATGCCTGGCTACCACTGTCAACCACTCGGAGGGGGATCTATGTAGGAGATCCTGGATAGAGAGGGAGAACAATGTGGAACAAAGCTCAAAATCATTTGGGAAAAAAAGAAAAGGGAGACCACGGCTGGTGTGATAGAGAGTGGTAGAACCACTGAGACTATGGCCCCTAGCTGCCCTTTGGGTCTGGAATTGAACCCATACCTGTGGCTTCCACCCAAACAAAAGACAGGCATAGGAGTTGAACATTTACCTGAGGTAGATACACTCCTTGGAGAGAATAATCATGGGAGAAAGAAGGGCTGTTTATGCACAGGGAGACAGCTCAGGGAGCAGGGGTGCATGGAGGGATAGACACAGGGAAGAGGTGACTGTCAGGGAGGAAGTGGAAGGGGAGCTGCTGCATTGTGGTGAATTGTGGTCAATGTCATGAGACAAAGTGTGTGTGAACTGCTGTATGGAAAGTGAATTTGCTCTGCAAATTTTCATCCAAATCACAATTTAAAAGAAAGAAAGAAAGAAAGAAAGGGTGTTGGGCACAGTACATGAAGGTAGCTCCTAGATGACCGTACAGATGTGTTTGAGGGAGGCTGGACAAGACCAATGAAGCATGGACTCAAGGCCCCAGCAAAGTTGGGGCCTCAAAACTTTTTTTTCATTATTTAGTAATTAATATTTCAAAAAGAAAGGAGTAAAGATGGCATCATGGGAGAAATCGGAATTTGTGGATGTCTTTGCCCCTCTTGTACAATTTAGTGTTGTTTTGTTTTGAAATACACAGAGGAAGCCTCCAGTTCTCAGGGCTCCAGAGGCACTTTCAGGTGCTGAGGATGGCAGACGTGGGGTAGACAGCTCTTGAGAGGTGACGGATGGCTGGGGAAGTGGAGGGGGCAGGGGAAGAAGAGAATTCACCCATAATCCTCCACCCCAGTCAGGCTCAGTTCAGGGCAAAGTATCTTCAACCACAGGAAACAGCTCTGAGATGTTCTCCTGGGGACAGGAGGCCCAGAGGAGAGCATGGTGAGGTGAGCTGGGGACCCTGAGAGCAGAGACTCAGAACCAAGGTGGTTCAAGCTGTGGACCCTGAGAAATCACTGGATTCAGCCTCCCCATTTTACAGCTGGAGACAGATCCTGATAAAGACAGAGTTTCCCAGGGTCTTTCATGACACTGGCAGCGGAGCAAGGATCAGTTCAAATCTCTGCCTAAGCCAGGACCCTTGAGGCCAGGGGCTCCAAAGTACTGGACAGGGAAGAGACAGGTGTGAATGCATCAGGCAAACAGCCTGGCCCACTCTACTGGCTCCTCTTCCCACCCAATGCCCTTTTCTCCAAACATTCCCCAAGTTCCAGGATGCCCAGTGTGGGGGTTCAGAGCCCCTGGGACACAGTCCTTCCCTGGACCCACAGATCAGAGAAGGAGCCAGACAGGTGCCTATGGGGTAATGAATAACCTTGTCAGTCTTGGTACCGGGGATCCCAGGAGGACCTCTTGGAGTGGATCTCTGAGGTCAGCAGAGCCCCTCCAGAGGAAGCAGGCTGGGTGGACACAGGAGGCCCCGGGACTGCAGGGGTTGGCAAGGATGATGCACCTCCTGCAGGGGGCAGCAGAGAGTGAGTGGAGAAGAGCAGCCAGAGCTCCTGGGAATGGGCAGTGACCGTTTGGCAGGGACAGAGGGGACCTGGCCAGATATGGGTGGAAAGGCCACCTTATGAGCAGCCTCAAGTAATAACTGTACGGCCTCAGCCGGTTCCTGGAGGGCCTTGGCACTGCCATTGTGATTTTTGCATTGTGTTTTTTGTGACCCTACCGTGGGCTGGAGAAGCACTGTGGGCCTTTCCAAGCCTCTAACCCAGGGCCAATCAATGGGTAATCGTCTCTTCCTCTTTCGCATTTTGGGGTCACACGTAATCCACATCCTTATGGGAAATTAGTACTTGTCACCAACCCTTTCCTGTGCCCCAGCAGGGACAGCCTGAGTGGGAAGTCTGGAATCTGGTTTTATTACTCCCTCTCTGTAGATACTTGGGTGTGTCTCTTTGATAGGCTCCAGGTGTCCTCCTGAAGTGGGGAGATAACCTCACTTGCCTCTGAGGGTTGGTGAAGGCTCCAGTGAGGTGACAGGTGTGAATGCATCACACAGCCTGGGTCCTGTCTTCTGGGTAAGAAGAGGGCATTCAGAAGCAGGAATGAGAGGTAGACCTCCGGGCAGCAGAAGGAAGTGACTAGGGCCAAGGCACGACTCTGCCACCCAGTCACCTGTCACTACTGGTGATGATTCTGTGGGGCCTCTCAGGAGTCTTATGCAACCCTCTTGGGCATCTCTGTGTAGGTGTAGTGATGATCATAACGCTAACTCCAGGTCCTGGCAGCTTCCCGTGGGTCAGGCCATTTACTGGCACTGCCTCATGTTCTCTACAAGGTTCTAGAGGTACGTGCTGCCAGCTGTGTGGACTGCGAGGGTAAGCGTCCGCAGAGAGGTCCGGGACGGCAGTGGGGTGGTAGTCAGCTGGGGGCGGGGCGGAGCTGGTGGTCTTACTCCTTACCGGAAGCGCTGAAGCGTTCGCAGCAGGTGTGAACAACTGATAGTTGACCCTTCCTGAGACCTCCTTTGGGAGCAAGGTAGGAGGCCTCCAAACTGTAACAAACTCACTTCCAAAACCAAACCAAAAACTCACTGCCTTCGAGTCCGTTGGACTCAGAGTCCTTGAGTCTATTCGACTCATAGCGACCCCTCTTTGGGTTTCGGAGGCGGTATCTCGAAGGAAGTAGATTGCCCAATCTGCCTTCCCTAGAGTGGCTGGTGGGTTTGAACCGCCAGCCTTCTGGTTAGTAGTCAAATGCCTTCCATTCCAAACCCGCGACAGGCGGGATCTCCCGGCTGCAGGCGCGCTCACCTTCCCACACCTGGCGTGTTAATTACACCAGTACTGGCCCCGCCCCGCCCGCTCTGGCGCGCCCAGGGCCAGGAGGCCACGCCCACTCGGTTGGCCAATCGGGATGAGGGGGCGGGGTTATGCTAAACAGACCGGGCGGCCCAAAAGCCCCACGCTGTAGGCTCCGCTGCACGCAGGCTTGGCGGCGGCGATGGCTCGTCTGGCCGCGGACGTGCATGGCCCGCGGGTCATCCCAAGCCCGGACACGGACTCGGACACAGACTCCGAGGAGCCGAGCCTCCGGCGCAGCGCTGGCGGGCTGCTCCGCTCGCAGGTCATCCACAGCGGTCACTTCATGGTGTCGTCGCCGCACAGCGACTCGCTGACCCGGCGGCGCGACCAGGAAGGACCCGTGGGACACTCCGACTTCGGGCCGCGCAGCATCGACCCCACACTCACCCGCCTCTTCGAGTGCATGAGTCTGGCCTACAGGTGAGGGTGGCTCCGAGCCCGAGGTCCTGGGCCCTCCGTCGAGGGTCGGTGCGCAGGGGGCCCCCCGGACACCCCACGCAGTCCAGAGCCCTGGTCCCTAGCTGCTCGGGGAGACTCCGGCCACGCCCTGACTCGGCCCAGCCCCCTGGCCTCTACGGACCTGCGCCCCTCCTGATCCTCGTTCTTTACTGCAGTCAACCCCTCTCCCGGGCGCAGGTCGCCTATCCCCCACCTCGACGACCTCTGAAGGGCCACATCAGGTCACTCTCCCCCAAAGAAATGCCCCTTGCGCTCCCAGCACCCTAGGCCACCCTCGCCCAGCAGCACCAACCCACGCAGCCAACCGACCACCTGCAGCCCTCAGCTCCCTCCCTGACCCCGGCCCGACCCACTCTGGTCCTGCACCCTCATGTCACTGAAACTGGCCCAGCCCCTGATGTGTTGTTGTTATGTGCCATCCAGTCGACCCCCGACTCATAACAACGCCTCCTTGGGTTTCCGAGGCAGTATCGCTACGGAAGTAGATTGTCCAACCTTCCTTCCCAGGAGTGGCTGGTGGGTTTGAACCGCCAGCCTTCTGGTTAGCAGTCAAATGCCTTAGGCACTATGCCACCAGTTGTTGTTTTTGTTGTTGTTGTTATGTGCCGTCGAGTCAAACCCGACTCATAGCGACCCCTCCTTGGGTTTCCGAGGCAGTATCACTACGGAAGTAGGATTGCCCAACCTTCCTTCCCAGGAGTGGCTGGTGGGTTTGAACCGCCAGCCATCTGGTTAGCAGGCAAATGTCTTAGCCACTATGCTACCAGAGCTCCTAGTCTACCCTAAATTGCCAAGTGTCCTCTTCTTGATCTGCTTGATCAGAGGTGGTGGGAGGAAGGTGCCCCCACCTGCCCAGAGGGGCGCAGCTGGCAGAGGTGGCCCGCTTCGGTCCGGTAAAGGGGTACTGCAGGTTGTGCAGGGTGGCGCCCAGGAGGCTGAGGCTCTCCGACTCTTGTTGTGGGGCGAAGCCGAGCGCTTACTGCGGCCCAGGACCTCTGCTCAGCGCGACGGGCCGCGCCCGGCCACCCCTCCACGCCCGAGTCACAGGGGAGGGCGCGAACTGGTGTCCTGGCCCAATGCCCTGGAGCAAAGTTCTCTGAGCAGAAGGACCGGGATGAATTATCAACCGAACCGTAGGGGGATCGGCTGGCCTTGATCTTTTCTCCATGCAAATATACTTTTCTTCCTCCGCGGCGCCTCCTCCCCCCTCCCCTTCTGAAAAACCACTGGCTCGAACTGGCTGCCCTGTTGGGGAGCGGGAGCTGGGGGGGAATTGCAGGGGCGCGTTGCCCACCCGCCGCGTGGCTGCGAAGCCGCGACCCCATTGGCTGGAGACGATGTAACCTTGGCCCACAAGCTCTGGCCCCGGGCCCAGGTCATGTTGCAACCAGATCTGTCCAGGACGCCGGCCCAATGTGGAAAGTTCATATTCCCGTCCTCCCTCGCCCCCCCAACCCCCCAAGGATCACGGGACCGCCTCGGACAGGGCATCTCAGGTCCCAGGTCGCTGGTACACCGGATTCAGGCACCCCTCCTCCCAGGCCCCCCCAGGGGTTCCCCATTCCCCACCCACCCTTAACTTTGGCTTCCTATGTAACACTAAGCATGGCTCTGCTTCGGTCCATTCACCCACCACCACCACCAGAACGTGGGTGACCCAAAAGGGAGGTTTTAGTAAGGTGGTAAGGTGGGGGACAGAGCACCCCTCGAGAACTGTTCCTCTGAGAGGCTGATGTAAACCAGCAGGGAGAGGTGAGATGGGGCAGGCTGTGTTTTCTCCCCAAACATGACAATTTGAAATCTCTGGGAGAGTGGTATGTGTGTTAATTACCAGAATCTCTGGGGGGGGTGTGTGTTAGTTACCAGAGAAGCCTTTGGGTTCCCCATTTGGTAAAGGAAGAAACTGAGGCTCAGATTGGGATGGTGGGTTAGCTGTCAAAGGCCCCCAAGGATATTGGTTGCTGGCGGGGAGAGGATGTGGGAAGCCGGAGTGGCCCAGGAGAGGGACTCAATGGGAGATGTCCAGAGTAGCTAGAGAGGACTCCTGCATGAGCCTGGTCTCACCTTCTCAGCCCCAAGGGAGTCCTATGTTCCCTGGATCCGTGGGTGGAAGACCTAGGGAGGATCAGGGCCTCTGGAACTGGGGGAGCTGGCAGACTCCCATTAGGAGTATTCTAGAAGGAATTCCTGCATGGGAGCGGGCAGCTGACCAAGGAGTTCTAAGATTTTCCCCAGCCCATCCCCAAGATTCTCGGATTCCCTATTGGTTACCAGAAGCTCTTGAACCTGGCCCCAGGCTTTTCACCTATGCGTGGATATTGTCAGTATCTCCCCAGGCCCTGCCTAGGCCACAAGTGGCCACAAGTACCATTCCCTCTGACGGAAGTGGGGGAGGGAAGGGCAGGCAGACTGGGGTGGGACATTAGATGAACTAAGTGGGCTGGGAGGTTGCTGGGACACAGGCAGGAGCAACAAACCTAAGAGCAACCCCCCCCCAGGTGCCACCAAAGAAGCTGACCCAAGAGGTGTCAGTGTGCCCCCCCTTCCCTGTGTCCCTGCTGGGCAGATGGTGTTTATCTAACTCTAGGAGGGAGGGGGCCCGCCAGTGGGCCAGGGTACTGAACTGTTTGGGTAATGAGGCCTGTTGTCCCCTGGGTGGCAGTCCGGCCTCTCCCTCTTCCCAAAGCAAACATGGGAGCTTGGAGACCAGAGAGGACAGGGGGCCCAATGACCCATGCACCCAAAGGGCTGCAGGGAGAGGGGCTGAGGAGTCAGACTGTCCACCCCACCCCCAGGATCTCCTGCCTCCCATGAGAGAGCAGGTCCAGCCTGCCAAAGATAAGCCTTGGAGCCTTAGGCTTCCCATCCAAGTAAAGGCTGGAGAAGATAGGTCAGAGGGGACTTGGACCCAACTCTGGCTTGTAGACCATGAGGAGGGAGGGACCAGCAGGAGTCTGAGTGCCTGAGCCTCTTGGTCTCCTGGATCAGCTTCCTGGAAAGATTTGGCCTGTGTCCAGCAGGACCCTGAAATAAAGCCTGTCCCCCATGTTGAGTACCTCCCCTTTGCCCAGTTGGTTCATGACCAGATCTATGGTGAACCGCCTTCCTTGAGGCCTTGATGGCCCCTGAGAAGGGGCCCATCTTCCAGCTCAGCCTATACATTGCCCCCTGGGACACTGGGCAGGACAGACAGCAGGAGGGCAGTGAGGAGGAGGTGCTGCTCCAAAACCCCCCCTGGAGAAGAAAGTCCTTTTCCATCAGGCAAACTTCACCCATCCCCCAGCCCTCTAAGGGGCAGGGAGACCCATAGAGGGAAAGCCACGGAGCCTGAGTGAGTTCCCGCCGAGAGATCTTGGGCATGTCCGTCGTTACTCTTTCTGATCTCAGTATCCCTAAGTAAGAAATGGGTCTAAGAACTGACCCCAGCCAGCCCTGGAGACCAACACCCACAAGGCTTTCGGGCATTGCTGTTCCAAGGACAGAGATGATAAACAGCTTTAGCCCTGGTTCTAGTCCTGGTAGTAGATTAACAAGCAGTCTCTCCAAAGAGCGCGAGGGCCCCAGTGAGGATGTGGGAGGGTATTTTAAAGGTCTGACTCTCGGGGTAGGCATTTCAGGCAGGTTTCAGTGAGGGAGATCTGGGAGGGCACCCATCCAAAGGCCCTCAGTGACGAAGAGTGTGGGGCCAAGCCCTGCAGAAGTGCCGCCCCCCAGCATCTTACTTTTCCTGTACCACCCCCCTGACCCAGCCCTCTCCCCCAACAGTGGCAAGCTGGTCTCTCCCAAGTGGAAGAATTTCAAAGGCCTCAAGCTGCTCTGCCGAGACAAGATTCGCCTCAACAATGCCATCTGGAGGGCCTGGTATATCCAGTGTGAGTGGGCATGGCGGGCCTCCCCAGCCAGGCAGACCCTCTCCCGGGCCAGAGGGAAGTGTCCAGCAGAACCCCGGGACCCTGGCTGCAGACCTTGCGGGGAGCCCAGGGCCCCAGCCCCAGGACCCCTGAACAGCTTCTGACCTCTAGAGGATTTTAGGAAACATAACCAAAGGGCGTTATCCACTATAAAGCTGGCCCCACCTGGGTCCCACCTCAGACACTCTGTGAAGGGCTGAGAAATGGGATCGCCTCATGGCCCATTCGTCATCCCTTTCATGTGGTCAGGTGCCTCAAGTGCCAGGGGAGAGAGGAGTTCTAGACACAACTGGGCCAATTGCATTGTTTCACAAATGGGGAGGCTGAGGGCCCTGCATAGGCCTCCACCAGCCCTTCACTGAGCTCTTGGTGAGCACCCAGCAGATTCACGGCCCTGGAGGTTCAGGAGGAGGGGACCCCCCCCCAAGAGGCCACGTGATACAGAAAAAAGCTGGTGTGCCACTCTGCCTCGGCCCCTTGCTGGCTGTGTGTCTCTGGGCAAGTTGCTTTACCTCTCTGATCCTCTGATCCTCATATGAGGCCGATAGGCCTACATTTCAAGGTTGGCACGGGGATGACGGGTATGAAAGGGCCTCGTAAGTAGTTGGCGCTCAATAAATGATGGGTGAATCTGATCTGCCCTTGAGAGGGTCACAGTTATTTGGGGAAACAAGAGCCACCCTTTAATGGCAGGGCAGCAGAGGCCCCTGTGTTGGGACCTTGTCCAGCTCAGTTAAGTCTTGTTGCAAGGTCAAAGGCTGTCCTAAGCCCGGAGCACGCAGCCCACACGGTATTCTGTGAATAGCCTGGTGGATTCTACCCAAGTGGAAAGAGTGGTGGTTTTGTTTGTTTCTATTCATCGACGTGCCAGGAGCTTTCAGAAACCATCCGATTGAAGGCTTCCTCTCACCCCTGGGTATGATTACTCCCATTTTAGGGATGAACATCTGAGGCCCAGAAGGCAGTGATGAGTTCCAGGATCACAGAGTGTGAGAGGAGCTGAGCAGGGGCTGCCGGGGAGTCCTGGGCTCCCCGACTCTGAGCAGAGGCTCCTTTTGCTGCTGGCTGGGCTAGCTCCCAGGCCTCACCTAAGAACACAGGTCTCCCTGCAGGGCTACATGGGAGGTTGTCACCCTCTGGTGGTCTGAGTCTTTGCCATTTCTGAGAACTTGCAGGGTGGGCTCTGGCCAAACCCAGAAGCAGGCGAGGGGGAATCTATGTCCTCCTGAGGTTTCAGCGTTCACCCTTCTCCCCTAAACTGAACTGGATGCACACCCTTTGCTCTGCAGTGGGAATTTCTGATGACAGCTGAGGCGTGATGCCTCCCGGGGTTCTCCCCTAGACGGGTCCTGGTTTCCGGCTGTTGCACAAGTTGCTGGCAGGACCCTAGGTTCTGAGACTGAGCTGGGTTTGAGTCCAGCCCTAGCACTCCCTAGCTGTGTGCCCCTGGGAAAGCCCACCGCGTCCTTGAGCCACAGCTTGTTCATCTGTGAAACGGGAATCATATCACTAGTCCTCCTGCCAAGGTTTGCTCTGAGTTCTCACTATGATAATTCTTATCTCAGAACAGGCCTGGCACATAGAAGGCTTCCTGAGGGTGTAGTATTATTGTAACAGTAGCAGCACACAGTGGGCATATGACAGATGTCAGGACCCCTCCTCCTTCTCTGAGCACCAAAGATCCACAGGGGGATCTGGTCGGGGCCGTGGCATGTTCCACTGGGGCCGTGGCATGTTCCACTGGTGCCGTGGCTACGCTGAATGGCTGCCTGCCTTTTTCCCTCTGCAGAATGCCTTGTCTGGACGGGCCTGCCACCCCTCTGTGGAGAGAGAGACAGCTCTCTCTGCCTTCCCTGGCCTTACCCACACCCCAAAATCATCTCTGTCGCCTAGGGGCTCCCCAGGCCCTTTGCACCTCACACAGGGCAAGGATTTTTTCCACCTCGTGTTTATCTCACACAGTTGGTATGCCTTTGCTAACTCCTGGCTAAGCTGGGGGGACCCTGAGTCCCCCATGCAGGCCTTGGCTCAAGACAGGTGGGTGAAGGGATGAATTTATCAGTGTTAAAGAAAACCTGCCCCAGCCCCAGGAATCCACACTGTCACTGCCTTCTGTCCAGAGAGGGAGGTCCCTGGGCAGAGGAAGGGAGCACTGAGCTGGGCCCCCTCAGCCCCGACTCTCTGGGGACCCTGGACGAACATAATCTTTCTTGGGGCTTATTTCATCATCCAGGAGCACAGGGCCTTGGAGACCCTCCTTGCCCCAATCTCCCCCTCCTCCCCGGGAGTCCAGACACCCAAGGGCCTCTCTCTTCATTTTGTTCTCTGCACAGCCAGGACAAAACCTCTCCCCCAGTCCCCTGGATATCTGTTTTGAAAACTGTCCTCTAGGACAGAATTTTATAAATGATACTAAAAGTCCCAATAAATTTCACATTCCAGTGGTCCCCCTCCTCTCTGCTGTCATTTGTCCCAGGGGAGGTTTGCTAAGGCAGGACAGGCCCCATGAACGCCATGAATGGTTCGTGATCCACCTCTTGGTCAGGACAGGCAGGAAAAGTCACTGGGTGTAAATCATGCTTCTTCTGAAGGCCTGCTATGAGCCCAGCTCCGGGCCAGACCATGGGGCTTTATGGTGAAAGGACACAGCTCTTGCTTCCCTCTCGGTGGAGAGAGAGACCGGCTTACAAGATGGACAGACAGGGCCATGGGGGCAGGAGGGAGGGCTTCCTGGAGGGGGTGCCATCTTGAAAGTTGGATGTATGTGGGAGAAGCAGATGGAGGCCAGGTAGATGGGCTTGAAAGCCAAGCTGAGGTGTCTGGACTTCATCCTGACAGTTGGGGAGCCAGGAGGAGCTGGGTCGGAACTGTGCTTTAAGAAGGACTGATCTGGCTGCAGTGGGGAGGTGGGAATGTGAGGCTGGAGTCAGCAAGGTCCAGGTGAGAAATGACACCAGACCAGGGGTGACAGTAAGAGGACAGAGGCCAGGAGACAATGGAAAAAATGTCAGCAGCCCTGTGGGGTTGGAGCGACTTGTCTGCGGATTAGACTGGGAAAGCTGGGAGTGGGTGGGAGTTTGGGAGGCACAGGCTGGAGGGGCATTCCCACACTTCCTGAATGTGATGAGCTCTGGGACCTCCTAGTGGGGGATCCCAGGCAGCTGGTAAGTGAATCTGGAGCTGGACAGGGGTAGGATGAGAGGCTCTGGGGTGGACCTCAGAGAGGGGTCAGTGAAAAGTGGTCAGGAAAGCAGAACAGAGGAAAGGTTCCTGGGCCTTAGGGGGGGGAGGTGGGTGTTACTCGGAGCTTGTGCAGCTGAGGGAAGGTGTTCTGTGGTGCAGTGCCTAAGGCATTTGACGCTAACCACAAGGTTGGCGGTTCAAATGCATCAGCTGCTCCTGAAAAGGAAGATGGAGCCTCTACTTCCGTAAATATGTACCACCTCAGAAACCCAGGGGGGGTCGCTGTGAGTCACAATTGACTTGATGGCAGTGGGTTTGGTTTTGGTGCCACTGAGGACTTGAGGACCAAGTCAGTGGGGCATGGAGACAGATGCTGAATCGCAGGGGTACCCATGAGACTGGGAGGTGGTGGCAGTGGTGGCAAGTGCGGACAACTCTTCCAGAGTTTTGTGGGAAAGAACGGATGGGAAGGAGTAGAAGGTTAACTAGTTGGGATAGCAAAGGGAAGAGGGGGTTGAGGGGGATAAGAGAGAGCCTGGAATGTGTTTATGGGCCAAAGGGTCAAGATTGGAGACTGGGAGGGGCGGAGAGGGCTAGGTGCCTGAAGTGGGCAAAGGTGGTTGTCTGAGATGAAGGGTGGACAGTGCAGAGGGGACCATGGCCTCCCAGTCTGATCCCAGAGCTTCTTGGGGCCGCCCCCTCCCAGTGGCCTGCAGTCCCACAGTCCCATTCAGCAAACATTGCCTAGGGACCTACTAGGCTTCCAAGCACAGGAGGTGGGAGAGGTTCACTTTGTATAGAAGAGTGTGATTTGAGAGGGCCAGAGTAGTACAGAAGGCTTCCTGGAGGAAGTAGCACTTAATCTGGGCGATGAAGCAGTAATGTCACTAAGGGGGTATGGATCACACTGGGTGACACTATCAGGGGTGACAGCAAAATGACTTGGCTACAAACATTTTGTGCTTGGAAGCAGTGATTTATTATTTTCTTTTTTTAAATTAATTTTTTTTTTTTTTAATTGTGATTTGGGTGAAAGTTTACAGAGCAAATTCACTTTCCATACAGCAGTTCACATACACTTTGTCTCATGACACTGACTACAATTTCCCACAATGCAACAGCTCCCCTCCTACTTCCTCCCAACAGTCACCTCTTCCCTGTGTCCATCCCTCCATGCACTCCTGCCCCCTGAGCTGTCTCCCTGTGCATACACAGCCCTTCTTTCTCCCATGATTGTTCCCTCCAACGAGTGTATTTACCTCAGGTAAATGTTCAACTCATATGCCTGTCTTTTGCTTGTCTGGAAGCCACAGGTGTGGGTTCAGTTCCAGACCTGAAGGGCAGCTAGGGGCCACAGTCTCAGTGGTTCCACCAGGCTCTATCAGACCACCAAACCTGGTCTCCCCTTTTATTTTTCTCCCAAATGATTTTGAGTTTTGTTCCATATTGTTCTCCCTCTCTATCCAGGATCTCCTACATAGATCCCCCTCCAAGTGGTTGACAGTGGTAGCCAGGCACCATCTAGTTCTTCTGGTCTCATAGTCGTATAGGCTGAGGATCGCTTGGTGTACCAGTCGCTAGGACTAATTGTTTCCATGAATCTTTGGTTTTTTTCATTCTTCTTTGCTCTGGACAAGGAGAGACCCGTCGTTGCATCTAGATGGTTGCTTGCAAGCTTTTAAGATCCCAGTCGCTACTTGCCAAAGTAGGAGGTGGAACAATGTTTTGTGTAGTATGTTATGCCAATTGAGCTTGATGTCCCCTGCAACTATGGTCCCAAGCCCACAGGTTCAACTACTTGATCCCTTTGGGTAGCTGGCTGTGACCAAGAAGTAACTACAACCTTGTCCCTTATCAGCTCTACACCTGGGAATTCAGATCATACAAATACACTTATAGGACCATTGTCTGCCAACCCTATACATGGTCTTGGGTATACTCCCTGCTTCACAAACATACCTAATAGTGCAGCCTGTCCACCCATCTATCCACCCGTATACCCATGTTTGCCTTCACTGACAACACAGTACTGTATGTGCAAAAGCGTTCCTCTTTGTTGTCTGTACCTCCCATGTACCTCTCTATGTCTTCCTCTTCCTCAGTGCCACCATGGTGATCACTCATATTTGGTACATTGCCCTTCTCTTTACCCAAATCAATACTTACCTCTACCTGTCTAACAGTGTTGCCTCCTTCCCCTTCCACCCCTGGTAACCAACAAAGAAGATTTCCTTGCATAGATAAACCTTTCCTTGATTTTTACAATAACGGACTAATACAATATTTGTCCTTCTGTAATTGACTTATTTCACTCAGCATAATGTCCTCCAAGTTCATCCATGTTATGCGGTGTTTTACAGATTCTATGTTATTCTTTAGGGTTGCATAGTATTCCGTGGTGTGTATGTAACAAAGTTTGGTTATCCATTCCTCAGTTGATGGACACTTAGGTTGTTTCCATCTTTTGGCTATTGTAAATAGTGCTGCGATGAACGTGGGTGTGCATATGTCTGTTCTTGTCATGGCTCTCACTTCTTTAGGATGTATACCTAGTAATGGAATGGCTGGGGGTTTATTATTTTCTGCAAGCCCTGTAGTCAGTTATAAGGCGCTCTGGTGGTGCAGTGCCTAAGGCATTTGACTGCTAACCAGAAGAAGGTTGGTGGTTCAAACCCACCAGCCACTCTGTAGAAAGCAGACTAGGTAATCTGCTTCTGTAAAGATTTACTGCCTTGGAAACCCAAAGGGGATCGCTATGAATTGGAATTGACTCAATGGCAGTGAGTTTGGTTTGGTAGTGATAGCAAAACGATCTTAAGCCCACTTACATGTCTCACTAAACCTACAAGGCTAAAACTCCATGCTAATTTACTTTCTGAACCCCTAGGGTGCTTCAGTCGGAGCTGTCATTACCCAATTACAGCGATGCTTGGAATCACGTGGTTTCTGGTTCCGTCTGCATGCTCACTTACTAATAACGTGTAACTAATAATGAACGCAACTCAATGTGAAATGATTTTACAAAACAATTTGTTTAGTATTCATATAATCTAAGAACTATTCATCACATTTAAGCAATTTACCAATGCATTTATCACATATTCTAGGATCAAAATTGATAATAAACACTGTTAAGGAGTCTGTACCGTCTAGTATGGGAGGAAATCCATGGTGGGGAGTGGGTGGGTGGTGACACCACCAGTTACTGCCCTGGGTGACAGCCACCACCCTAGTGATGCCAGTACAATGAAGGCCCGGCAGAATTTTGCAGTGTGTTACCTGGGTGGGAGTTCCCTTGGGATGGGGGATGGGGAGCTGAGCGCCCCCTGACCAGGACCCCCTTCCCTTAGATGTGGAACGCAGGAAGAGCCCCGTCTGTGGCTTCGTGACACCCTTGCAGGGTCCTGAAGCTGACGAGCACCGGAAACCGGAGGTAGTTGGGTCTCCGGGACCGCCCACCCCCCTGCCTCCCCACCAAACCTGGCTCCTACCCCGCCGGTCAGGAGGGGCTGGCCCTAGATGGGGATTGGGTGAAGGGTGGGATGTTGGGCACAATGCCAGCCCTCACTCTGAGCCCCCTTCTCGACCCTCCTCAGGCCGTCGTCCTGGAGGGGAATTACTGGAAGCGGCGCATCGAGGTGGTGATGCGCGAGTACCACAAGTGGCGGATCTACTACAAGAAGCGGGTCAGTGGGGGTCCAAGCGAGGCCCCAGACCTTCCCCCTGGGGTGCAGGGCCACCGCCACTCTATAGAGAGCGCTTCTTTGGAGACACAGCCGACAGCGCCACCGTGTGGGCACAGGGTCTCCTCGCAGCCTTCTTACCTGGGAGGGTGCTTCAGAGGGGAAGTGGGGGATCCCATTGATCTGGGTGGAAGCTTGTGCGTGGAGGAGGCGTTGGGGGTAGTGGCGAAGGAAGGGCCAAGGGAGCCAGCATCCACCTCTGTGTCCCTGCAGCTGCGTCGGTTCAGGGACGTTGACTTCCTGGCCCCTAAGCAGGTGAGTGTTCCCTGGCCGCAGAGAATCACAGCTTCCGATGGGTGAGCAGGGCAGTGGCTGAGGACGCAAGTGGGAGGTGAAGAGAATGGGGCTGAGTGCTGTCCCTGTGGTTGAGCCCTTGTCCCCTTGTGAACGGAAGCTTTGGAGGGTGCAGCAGTGGAGGGACCCCAAGCCTTCTGGTTCCCTGAGCAGGTGTTGGGGAAGCAGGGTCCCGGACAGGAAAAGGTGTAGGAGACAGGAAGGGACCCTAAGCTGTTCAGTAGGCCCATCCCAGTCCATCTCCTGGGGGAAGTTGTTGGAGGCCAGTGGGGTGGCCTGGTCTTCCAGGCAACAGAAAAGGCCCACCAGGGGCTGTGTCCACAGAGCGCTTCCGGCTGACTCACCACTTTGCCCCCCAGGCAGGGCCGTGTGGGGAGAGGCACCCTCCTGCACTTATAACAAACAATGTGTCTCCCTAGAGGGAGCGGGGCTGGCAGCCGTCGGAGCTATGGCAGGAACAGCTCTTTTCCAGCATGATGCCTGTGTTGCTGGGGGGCCCAGAGGAGGAGCCCAGTGGACGGCAGCGCCTGGACCTCGACTGCTTCTTGTCTGACATCTCTGACACCCTCTTTACCATGACTCAGCCCAGCGCTGCACCCCTGCAGCTGCCCCATGAGGATGGTGAGGGCCTGCGTCCAGGGAGCCTCTCTCTGGGGAGAGAGAGGCTCAGGCCTCTGACAATCCAGGCAGCCGAGGGAGGCTAGCTGGGGCTGGGGAAGGGCAGTGCCCCCAGCGCATGCTACTCCTGTCCCTCCAGCCTATGTGGGCAACGCTGACATGATCCAGCCGGACCTGACACCACTGCAGCCCAGCCTGGATGACTTCATGGAGATCTCAGGTGCGACAGGCCCCTCCCAGGCTGGTGGCCAATGGTCGGGGTGATTTCCTAGGTCTTCCTCCATCTGTCCTTGGGATGTGGTTTGTTTGGCCTTGGACCAGGGCAGGCCCAGACAAGCTACCTAGCCAAGGAGCTAGGGGCTTTGAAGCTTCAGGCAAGGCGTTCTCCCATTCCAGGAAAGCTGTGGATGCCGGACTCTCAGGGGAGAGAGGAATTTTGATTTGTTTGGGTTTGTTTATTATTTATGTAATGCATTTTTAAATGATTAGTTAAAGAAAGTTTGCAACCTGCACCCAAGTAGGGAGAGGTTAGTTTGAAGCCCATGTACCCACCCTACCTGCAGCATTTATCAGCTGTCTGCCAGTCTTATTTCATGAGACCTCCCCACTTCTCTCTTGATGTTTTAAAGCAAGTCCCAAGCCTTGTATCTTGTGATGCTTTTTTAAGTAAGCTTCCCCCGCCCTCTCCTGACCCCATTCACCCACTCGTTCTCCTTGAAGACCACGGGTTGTGCACGTGTCCCTGCAACCATACTCTGTGTCTGCACACCTCCACAGTGTCTTTTGTGTTATTTTCATAACACTCTCTTCTTTGCCGCACAAAGGGCACGGGAACGGCATCTTATGATCTCCTCCAACCTCCTAAGGGGGAAACAGAGTCACCGGCAACAACCCGAGGTTTATTCCTGTGAGGCCAGACACGCTGCCACCCTCTAGCCTTTCAACAATTTTGACACCAACCATCCCTCCACCCCACATCACCCTCTGGCACTCACTACTTATCTGCTGGTTTCAATAATTCGTTGCCATAGCCACGTAGAACTCACAGCAATACTCGCGATTATGGCGTTTATTAGGGAAGTAACAGGCTACAGTTCGGGTTCAGGAATGTGCTCAGGATACAACTCTTCAATCAGGACAGCGTCCCCTCTGCCGTGTCCTCGGCCTCTTGGCCTGGCCTCTGCTCTGCTCGGGCAAGTGTTACAAAGCTTTTTGACCTCTGCCCGGTGAGTGCATCTCACTCTACCAGCAAGACTCCCTGTTCGAGGGCACTCAGCTTTCTCCCTCAGTGGGCCACTTGAAAGCCTGCCACTGTCTCCTGCCTCTTGGTTCCACTACCGCAGTCTTAGCCGGGCATCTCTGCCAGGGCATCTCTGCCAAGGAGGTCCAGTGCAGGGATCTCTGTTCCCGGGCTACGCTCCTCTTCACCGCCAGCTCTTCTGTCTCAAAGGCAGTGAGATCCCCGTTTCTGCCTCTGTTGTCGTTATGTAGATTGCCCCACCTTCCTTCAGAGGAGTGGCTGGTGGGTTTGAACTACTAGCCTTCTGGTTAGCAGTCAAGTGCCTTAGGCAATACGCTATCAGAGCTCCCTTTCTGCCTCTAGGAAGGCTCCTTTTAAGCCTGGCAAGGTAACAAAACTAACCAATCCCATCATCAGAGTTTTACACGCCTTATTTGCATGGTCCCACCCAGTAATCTGGTAGGAGTTACAAAGACTATGGCTAGAAAAACTATACTAAGTAATTCAGTGCACCACACCCACTTAGCTGCCAAGCTTGGAGACTGTCCCCATAGTCCTACATCTGGAGCCACTGAAGCTGTTGAGAGGCCAGGTGGACATCTGGGTTCAGTCTGTCTGAGTCAAGGCATCAGAGACAGAAAGAGGGTCCCAGGGAAAAAGGACTTAGTGTCAGTGATCCTTCCACTCCTTCCCATAAGATCCTGGGCCTGTCATTCAAGAGGTGGAGGCCTATGGGGCGGGGACTAGGGAATGAGGAACCACCCCCAGCCTGGGGCGGGGGTAGGGGCTACAGGGGCAGAAGTGTTGATGGCAGTGCCCTGGGAGCAGACCAGCCTGGTAAGGCGGCCCCCCTGCCTGGGCACACGGACCCCTGCCACAGGTAGGAGCCCCAGCTGGCCCTGCTCCAAGCTCTGGGTAAAACCAAGACCTAGATAGGACTGGGAAGCTATGTCTCTCAAGCCAGGGTAGCTGCTGGGGTGGGGACCAGCAAGGGTAAGCTAGGGTAAGAGTGTGCGGCCGTTGTGGCCGTCTCAAAGCTAAGTATGTTGGGAGGGCAAGGGAGTACCCCGTTACCAGTGCTGCTTCTAGACTGACCCTGAAGCCCCTCACGTGACAGGGAACCAGACCTGTGGAGGGAGGGGCTCGGTGAGCAGAGGACTCGGTGAAGGGAGCTCTGGGAGGGGGTAGCATGTCAGAGAGGGCATAGGCGCTTAGGGAGGGACTCCCTGGGCTTCCTGGGTGGCTGGGGCTAGGAAGCAACTTCTCTCGGTGGCTGCAGGGGTAGAGGCAAGCATGGGCAACCTGTGGGCAGGGGATCCAAGACTTGCCTGAGCCCCCGGAGCAGGAGGCAGCAGCAGTGGGCAGGGAATGGTTCTGTGACCTTCAGCCAAGCCAGGCCCACGTATGGTGCTGGTTCTAGAGCCCAGGCCTCAGGGTTCTGGTGACGAGGCCCATGATGCTTGGAGGTGGGGGTGGAAGATTAATGACCACTCACCCAGCCCCTCTGTTAAAGGGAGGCAGCAGGACAAAAGGACACCTGGTGTGGCCTGGGCCATACATGGACTTACAGAGGACACGCTCAGACATGACAGACACAAGCACATCCCATGTGTTCACATCAGGCCCACTTCCCAGACCTCAGGTAGAGCTGCCAGACTGATGCTACATGCAGACCACACGCTAATACACACAGATTCAGCCACTTGGCAACACATAGGCCCCTTGTCTTCTGGTGAAGTTGTTACATGAGTTTGACCCCATTGGGTTGTGGCTTTGGGATGGCTCTATCAGACCCAGTCCTGGGTCTCCTTAAAGGTGGCTCCTGGGAGAGGGGCCCCACCAGGACTCCTGGCTGGGGTGTGGCAGGGAAGGAATATGGGGCTGAGACGCAGCCAAGGCCTCCGGGGGCTGCCAAGATAGGGTCAGGTCTGGCCAGCCCAGTCCGGCCTTGGGAGCTGGTACAGACTGAAGGCTGGTCAGGGTCAGAGAAAGGTGCCCGGAAGGGAGCGGGTGGGCGGGTGGCACCCAGGCTGGGGATGTGGTTAGGCCACAGGCAGCTGCTTCCCAAAACCAGAATAGCCCAGGTCTTACGCAACTTGCACCCCAAAGAATCTGGCTGCCGGCCCCCCCACCAGTGCACCCAGGGTTGCCAGCAGCCTCCTCCTGGCCCTCAAGGAGCCCAGTCTGATCCCTGACCGTCATCCCATTAGACCCTTCACCCCACTCTTAGGCCTATCCTGGAGCCCTACCCATTGAACTTCCAACAAACCTACCTTTTCAGATCACTGACCTCCTGACCTCTCTGACCTCTTAACTCACCCCTCGAACTCCTGTCAACCCCTGAACCTCCCCCATCCCAGGACTCCTCCCCTTGGGCCTGCCCTGTTCCCGCCCTGTTCCCAGCAGCTTCTCTCTGCTGGCCCCCTTCCTTCCTTTCTGTACCCCCAACAGAGCTGATGAGGACAGCAGGACGGCCCAGGCCTGGAGATGGGGAGGGTCCTCATGGACCAAGAGTGGGAGCCTTGTGGGAAGGCTGCTTCCTGGGGTCCCTGCGCACACCCCACCTCCCTTCTGGCTCCCACTCAGGCCCATCCCACCCAGGCTGCTGCTTCCCCTGAACGAGACAGAAACTCTCCCAGTTTCACAATCTCCTGTGGAAGCCAGCACCCCCACTCCCGTCTGCGGGCCCCCACCCCACTGCCCGCCCAGCCTGGGGAGAGGGCGCCCGGCCACTCTGCTTCCCACTGTCGCCAGCTCCTGCCTGAACCTTAACTGCGGCCAACTCTGTGTGTCTGAATTTCAGATTTCTTCACCAACTACCGCCCTCCACAGACGCCCATGCCTTCAAACTTCCCAGAGTCCTCTGGTTTCAACCCCATGGCTGACTCCCTCTTCAGCAGTGGGATCCCGAGCCAGGAGGTGCCTCCCACCCCGTCGATGGGCATGGCCCACCTCTCAGGCAGCCGCCTGCAGGTGAGCTCGCTCCCCCAGCAGCTCTGCCCAGCTCACCTCCTGGCCTTGTGCACTCCGTGTTCAAGAGGTGGTTATGGCAACCAAGTGCCCAGCCCCGTGCTTGCTTGACAGGGAGACTGGAAGGGACAGAGGACCCCATCTCGATCCCGTGGAGCAGAACTGGACACAGTGGATGTGGGAGGGAGCCTGAGGGTGGGGGAGCACAGAGCAGGGCCTTCCCAAGGAAGACTTCGTGGGAGAGAAAGATCTCTAGGCCTTGGTGAATGGTCTGGTTTAGACAGAGAGAGAGCCAGACCAGCAGAGGGCCTTGGGAGGGACGGCAACGAGCAAATGCATGGAGGCAGGATGGAGCTGAGCCAGAATGCTCAGGAAACAGTGAGTCCACCATTTGGGTTCAAGAACTCCCAGCCCAATTCAGATAATGCCCTCACTGCTGGGTTAGGTGTCATTTCCTCCCTTACCACTTTTCAGGTGCTCTTGTAGTTGATAGTTAAGGTGCCCCTTGCTGCCCTCAGGCTATGAGCTCCTTGCTGGATTGCATCCCATGCCCCTAGCACAGTCTGACACATAGCAGGCACTAAGTAAATGGTTGACCAATGAGGAAGCAAATGAGTGGCCAGGTAGATAAGTGTGTTGGTAAAAGGATAGATGAGTTGTAGATGGAGGTGGGTGGATCCATGGTTGGTGAATATGTGGGTCAGCAGGTGGTTGGTTGAATGGGTGGGCTAGGGGGTAGATTAGTAGATGGATAGTTTGGTAGATCTGTGAATGGGCTAGTAGGTGGATGAATGGCTGGTGAGGGTATGGATGGTCAATAGATACATTATGATGAGCAAAGAGCCCTGGTGGCACAACAGTTAAGCACTTGACTGCTAACCAAAAGTTTGGTGGTTTAAACTCATCCAGCCACTCTGTGCAAGAAAGACATGACGATCTGTTCCCATAGATTGTAGCCTAGAAAACTCGATGAGGCTGTTCTGCTCTATACAGGGATTCCTATAGGTCGAAATCAACTTGATGGCACCTGACAGCAACATGGGTGGGTAGGTGGATGAAGGAAGGCACGCTAGATGATTGGATAAACTGGCGGCCTGGTGGAGAGATAGGTACATGAGCTACCTCATGGGTGAGAGAGTGGGTAGGTGGATGGAGGATGGATGGATAGAGGGTGGATAGATGGAGAATGGATGGATGGATGGATGGAAGGTGGATTGAGGATGGATGGAGGAGGATGGATGGATGGATGGATGAGTTAGTGGAATGAATGAACAGGAGGACTGACATTCTTTGTCATGCCGGATTTATGCATTAATGTGTTCAGGCCCCGATGGTGCTAGTAGTGGTGGGGTGTTGAGAGAGTCATTTGTCCTCTCTCCCCAGTGCCCTGTCCAGAGCTCAGTCAGGGCAGCTGTCCTCCCTGCTCTCTGAGCATCTGTCTGTGTGTACCCCCCAACCAGGCTCCGAACGGCTGCCCTGACCCCTTGGACTCCAGTGCCTACCTGAACTCTGATTTCCTCCTTCCTGAAGACCTCAAGCCCAAGCTTCCACCCACTCCCATGCCCCCACCCCTCCTCCACTATTCTGCCCCAAACAAGGTGCCTGACCTGGAGCCCTGCCCTCCAGCCCCCTTCCCTCCTATGGCTGCACCCCCTGCTTTGCTACAGGAAGAACCCCTGTTCTCTCCCAGGTTTCCTTTCCCTGTTGTCCCTCCTGCTGCAGGAGTGTCTCCCCTGCCTGCTCCCTCAGCCTTCCCATCTAGCCAGCAGCCTGGCTCTGGCCCTGCCCCATCCCCCTTCCCTGTAGACTTTGTGCCCTCAGGGTATCCGGAGCCTGCATTTGGGCAGCGTTTTGCAGTGCCCCTGGGTACACGGCCCAGAGGCAAGCCTCACGCCCAATGCCCAAGAGGGCAGAAGCCCAGCCCCACCCCCTTGGCCCCTGCCACTGCCAGCCCCAATGTCACTGCAGGGGACACCAACCCCTGCCTCACACAGCTGCTCACTGCAGGTGAGAAGGACAGGGCCAATGGGGATGGGGGACCACACAGGCAGGGAGCCCATGGGAGCAGACGGAGAAGGTTAAGGAGTAGCTTCAGGGGGAACAGGGTGGTAAGGAATCAGGGACAAGGGCCATGTACCCCAGAGGAGTGTGGGCTACGGGGGTGGGGAGAAGGATGGGTCTTGGGGCATGGGGTTGGGGCCAGCCCCAAAGCCCTCACAGTTCTGCCTGTCCACAGCCAAGCCTGATCAAGCCCTGGATCCACCACTTGTGTCCAGCTCCCCGGTCCGGCCCTCAGGGTCCCCGGTAAGATGGGGGGCACTGAGAAGTATGGGTGAGCCCGGGGAATTCACCCCAACTTTCCGCCCTTCTCCACCCCAGCAGGAAACGGTCCCTGAATTCCCCTGCATCATCTTTCCCCTGACCTCGGCTCCCACACAGCCCCGGCCACCTCTAGGCCCAGCCACACCAGCCCCTCCCAGACCTCTGATTGTCCCCAAAGTGGAGCGGCTTTCACCCCCAGCACTCAGCGGTAAAGAGCAATTGCAGGGGTTGGGGGACTCTGGGAGGCAGAGGGAGGACAAGGAGAGAGGACTGCATCTGGGGTCAGGATAAGAACAGGGCAATGGCACCATCTCCCTTGTGTCAGTCTGTCTCTCGTCTGTCTGTCCTTGCCATAGGCGGTGAGCGGCGGCTGTCTGGGGAGCTCAGCTCTGCACTAGGCCCGACAACACTGAGTGTCTCCCCACCCCAACCCATCCTAAGCCGAGGGCGTCCAGACAACAACAAAGTGGGCACCGTCCCCGCACCCCAGGCCCATTTGCTGCCCCCCTGGCCTCCCAGGCCCTTCCTAGGCTCACCCTACTGTCTTCCCCCCAAGACCGAGAACCGGCGCATCACACACATCTCAGCTGAGCAGAAGCGACGTTTTAACATCAAGCTGGGGTTCGACACCCTGCAGGGGCTGGTGAGCACGCTCAGTGCCCAGCCCAGCCTCAAGGTGAGCCCCACCCAGGCTGGTACCCCGAGCCCCAGGGCCCCTTCCCAGGCCCTACCTGAGACTAAACACCAGGACCCCCACCTCTGGGACCTCCTCCAATCCCAGGGTCCCAGGGCAGGGTAACCTCGGCACCTGAGCCTCACAGGTGGTACCCACAGATGAGCAAAGCCACCACACTGCAGAAGACAGCCCAGTACATCGCCATGCTGCAGCAGGAGCGGGCAGCCAAGCAGGAGGAGGCCCAGCGGCTACGCGAGCAGATCGAGGAACTCAATGAAGCCATTAAGTAGGCCGGGGGCAGCGGGCACTGGGTAGGAGGCATGCCACATGCTCTAGCCCCTGACCCACCTGTGCCCCTGCCCCAGCCTCTGCCAGCAGCAGCTGCCTGCTACCGGCGTGCCCATCACACACCAGCGCTTTGACCAGATGCGCGACATGTTTGATGACTACGTCCGGGTCCGAACGCTGCACAACTGGAAGTTCTGGGTGGTATCCTCGCTTGGACCTGGGGCTTGGGGGTGCAGGGGTAGTGCCAGGGGATAGGTGAGAACTTCAACTCTGAGTGAAGTGAGGCCAGGAGAAGATAGGGAGTCTCACTCCCTCAGCCTGATTCGGGGGTCAAACTCTTTTTTTTTCATTGTGATTTAGGTGAAAGTTTACAGAGCAAATTCACTTTCCAGACAGCAGTTCATAGACACGTTGTCTCATGACATTGACTACAGTTTACCCCAATGCAACAGCTCCCCTCCCACTTCCTCCTGATAGTTGCCTCTTCCCTGTGTCCATCCCTCCATGCACTCCTACCCCCTAAGCTGTCTTCCTGTGCATAAACAGCCCTTCTTTCTTGGGGTCAAACTCTTGACTGAGCTGGAGCTGGAGCCCAGGATGGGGCACAGTCCAGTATGGAAGAAGGGCCATGGAGGAGCCAGGAAGAGGAGGCTGAGAACCAGAGAGCCAGACAGGCCTTGGAAGGAGCAGGGGACTGCAGCAAGGGGCATCGGGGTTTGGTGTTAAGCAGTGCCCGGCCCCTCACCTAAGTTGGCACTAGTATCAGGGTGATGTGGGTGGGTGGGGCTGCTGGCTGGGCAACAGGCCTGCTCCTTGACCTGGGCCCAGTTCAGCATCCTCATCCGGCCTCTGTTTGAGTCCTTCAATGGGATGGTGTCCACAGCAAGCTTGCAAAGCCTCCGCCAGACCTCTCTGGCCTGGTTGGACCAGTACTGCTCCCTGCCTGCACTCCGGCCAAGTACGTGAGCTGCTGCCTGCCCTGAGGGCGCCCTTCTCGACCCCCCACTCCAGCCTGCCCCCAACCCAGCCTGGGGTTCTGGTCACCCCACCATGCCCTGTGGGTGGTCCTCTGGCCACCAGACGACTGCACACAGAGGTCATAGGAGGGGCTGGCGATCTTGGCCAACTCGTACCTCCCCTGTGCCTTTGTCATCAGTATGCCAGGAGTGGGGCCCTCACCCCAGAAGGTGAATTAATCTTTCTCTCTCTCTCTCACCAGCTGTCCTGAACTCCCTGCGCCAGCTGAGCACATCTACCTGTGTCCTTACAGAACCAGAGCGCATACCTGAGCAAGCCACACGCGCAGTCACACAGAGTACCCTTGGCAAATCTTTGTAGTGCTGGCCAGGCCTTCTGCTTACTCACTGCTCTAGGGGCCGCCTCCCTGGTGATGGGCTCCAGGGACAACTTCTGGGCACTCTCCTCCTGCCCAAGCCCTGGCTGTCCCTTCCCTGAGTATCAAGCAGGGCCCAGTGTGCAAACTCATGCCACCTTCTGGAAGCATGGTGCAGAGGAGAGCTGAATTCTGTTCCCTTCCCCACCGCTAACACTGTGACCTTGGGCCACTCATACTCCCTCCTTACCTCCATTTTCCAGGCTGCAAAATGGGGGTGGGGAAGGTTCAACCAGAAGATGGTGCCCAGGCCTTCCCAGCTGGGACACTTGCCGCCTAGGCTGGCAACTCAGGGAGCTTGGAAGAGGGAAGAGGATGATGCCATTTCCCTGTTCCTCCCACCTGCTCCCCTGCAGGTGGGACCTGGGCCTCCACTCCTGAGCAGAGAAGCAAGAGATCCTGGCGGGGCTACATGATGGCTTCCCCTAGGTGACCCTCGGAGACCCCAGGCCAAGGAGTGGCCAGAGCAGGGCAGGCATCTTGCGTGTGTGTGTGTGTGTGTGTGTGTGGACATGTGTGTGGGTTTTGTAAAGAGTTCTTGACCAATAAAAACAAAAACTGCCAGCCAGTGTGTCACTGTGACTTGTCTTGCTCTGGGATGGAGAAAAGCATGTTGGTAGTGGAGGTGGGATTGTGGAGGGCCTGGTGGGGCCTGAAAGGACTTCAGTTTTTACTCTAAGTGGGAAGCCACTAGAAGTTTTTGAGTAGTGATGAGACAAGACCAGATGTAACTTTGTAACAGGATCCACGCTGGTGACACAGTGATTAAATGCTTGACTGCTAATTATGAAGATTAGCAGTTCAAAGCCACCAGCTGCTCTGCAAGAGAAGGATGTGGGAGTCTGTTTCTATAAAGATTTACAGCCTTGGAAATCCTATGTGGTAGTTCTACTTTGCCCTATAGGGTTGGAATTCAACTCAACAGCAATGTTGTGTTGTGTTGTGTTCTGTTTTGTTTTAATCTCTGGGTGCTGTGTTGAGAATATACTGTGATGGGGCTGTTGTAGTCATCCCAGGGAGAGGTGATGTGCTGGGATGAGGGCAAGAATGGGGATGGGAAGAGGTTGGACGCTATAAATGTTCTGCAAAGTCGCTCCAATAGGACTTTGGGAGAGGAGTAGAAATGACTCGGGTTTCTGGCTCGAGCAACTGGAAGGAAGGAGCTGGAGTTAACTGCAGACTGCAATGAGGATGGGTCTGGCTGTGCCTGTCGGTATAGAGGGCCTGGGAAGGGTGGTGCTAAACAGGCAAGGAGGCCACATTTTCTTACCTCCTGTAACCCCACAAGAGGAAGATAGAATCACCATCAGTAGCCCAAGGCCTATTCCTATGAGGCTAGACATGCTGCCTCCCTCCAGCCCTTTCACCAACCCTGACACTAACTATTCCTCCCACAGCACTCACCACCTTTCTGCTGGGTTTGATAATTCACTGCAGTGGCCACGCAGAACTCACATATTATGGGGTTTATTAGGGAAGCACCAGGCTACAATTCAAGTTCAGGAAAAACTCTCAAGTCTCTCTCAGCCCGCCATCTCTCAGCTAACAGTCTCTCACATCTCTCTTCCAAGAGTGCATGTCCCTCGGTGTCTCACTCAGCAATGCATGTCTCTTTCCCAGCAGCGCATGTCTCTCAGGAGCATGTGTCTCTCAGGAGTACATATCTCTCAGGAGCGTGTTTCTCTCAGCAGCACGTTCTTCTCACCCAGCAGTCAGAGAGATTTCTGCCTCTAGGAGGCTTCCTTCTGAGCCTGGCAGAGTGCCTAACTAGCCAATCATAACAACAGAATTCTAAGCACCTGAGAGAGAGTGAACCTCCCAGAACATTGCTTTGTGCCACTCCCAACAGAAATACCTCAGGTGGATAACTTTTACAATCAGGAACTCCTCAGTTGCTCACAGCAAATTCCACCACAGAGTTTACAAAGACTTATGGCTAGAAATTTACTACACCGCAGGTGGCTGATGGAGTTCAGGGGCAGGATCACCAAAGTGACCTTGACCTGGAATCACCAAGCCTAGGAGAGTCAGGATGGAACCTCTGAATCCAACTGCTTGTTCCTAAGTACCTCCTCCCCTAGTTCTGCTTGAGCTGCAAAGGCTTGAAGTCAAGGCTGTCTGCTCACACAGAACTAACCAGGGCAGAAATGGGGAGCCATCTTGTTGTTCCCTTTCCTGGTGGCCTAGGTGAATGGTTAACACTCTTGGCCGCTAGCTGAAATGTTGGAAGTGTGAGTACACCCAAATCTGCCTCAGAAGAAAGGCTTGGTGAAGTCAGCCACTGAAAACCCTGTGGAGCAGTTCTATTCTGACACCCATGAGGTCACCATGATTTGGAATCAACTTAACAGCCACTGGTGGAGAGACATCTTCAGATGTGTGGGTGGATATACTCAAACATGTGCAGTTATACCTGTGAACAAGATTACTTATTCCAGCATTGTCTGTGACAGCAAAGGATCAGAACCAACCTAGATGCCTATCAACTGGGAAGCCAGTAACACTTGCTGCCTCTAGCAGGAGACCTGGGTAGCTGGGGACAGGGGAGAAGGACAAGTGTCCACTATATTATTCCCTTTTTGAAGAAATCTTTTCTTGACTTTTTATAATAACTATCTCATGCAATATTTGCCATCTTGTGATTGGCTTATGTCACTCAGCATCATGTTCTCCTGGTTCATCCATGCTGTGAGATGTTTCACAGATTCATTGTTGTTATTTAATGTTGCACATTGTTCCCTTGTATGTATGTACCATAGTTTGTTTATTCAATCGTCTGTTGACAGGCACTTAGGTTTTTTCCATTTTTTTGCTATTGTGAATATGGCTGCAATGAAGATAGGTGTGCTACATTCCCATAGAATTTTGAACTATGTGATGATATTAAAAAAAGAAAAAAAAAAATTAAAGAAAAGTAAACACTTACAATCCAGGGCTGGGAGAAGGCCCTCTCAGCCTGGCTGCACTCTGCACACTCGTGCATGAAGCCAGCCCATCATGGCTGCCACCAGCCCAACAAGTGGACAGAACTTCCATCACATGGTGTCTCACAACCATGAGGGTTATAAATGTGTCTCCTCTGTTCACAGCATCCTCATTTTCTAGCAGTAACTACTACTAACGTAGTAGGTGCTCAGTAAATGCTCATTGAATGGATGAATGGCTTCTTTCAGGAGGCTCTTGGAGGCTCTAACATTTCGGCTGCCTTCAAAGAATGACTCGGGACTTAGAGGATGAGGAAGGGAGGAAGCTGTAATGCAGGCCAGGTGCAAAGGGGAGCAGGACCAGGCAAGGCAGGCCTAGGGCAATGAATTGTGCTGGGGGAAGTGGGAAGAAATAAGGCTGGAGATGGGGATGAGCCTTAAAGGCCACCTCAGAAATGGGGACTGGTCCCTAGAGTCAATAAGGAGGTTTGAGAAGAGGAGGTAATGTTGGGATTTGGGTTTAGAAAGTTGGCTGGGGGAAGAGAAAAAGGTGAGCCAAGGAACAAGAGACTGCTCACCCACCATGGCTGACCCTGGGGAGGAGGGGCTGGGTTGCCATCCTACTCCCCTCCCATTGGTTGAATGGCTGGGCAGCCTGGTGAGCCAGGGCCGCAGATGGGAGTGACACCAGCCAGTGCCACTTGAGATGCCAACATAGGTCCATCACTCTCATAGCCAGATTCCCAGTGGTGTCACTAGGAGGGTGCAAGTGGGTGCATACCACACCGGGTGACACAATTAAGTGTTCTGGAATCCCATCATTCTCAATGTTATCCATAATGTTATGATCCACACAGTCCAAAGCTTTTGCATAGTCAACAAAACACAAGTAAACATCTTTCTGGTATTCTTTGCTTTCAGCCAAGATACATCTGACATTAGCAATGATATCCCTCATTCCACATCCTCTTCTGAATCCAGCTTGAACTTCTGGGAGTGCCCTGTCAATATACTTCAGCAAGATTCTACTTGTGTGTGATAGTAATTATATTGTTTAATAATTTCCACATTCTGTGGGATCACCTTTCTTTGGAATGGGTACAAATATGGATCTCTTCCAGTCAGTTGGCCAGGTAGCTGTCTTCCAAATTTCTTGGTATAGATGAATAAGTGCCTCCAGTATGGCATCTGTTTATTGAAACATCTCAACGTGTATTCCATCAACTCCTGGAGCCTTGTTTTTTGCCAATTCTTTTAGTGCAGCTTCGACTTATTCCTTCAATACCATTGGTTCTTGATCATATGCCACCTCCTGAAATAGATGAACATCAACCAATTCTTTTTGGTACAGTGACTCTCTGTATTCCTTCTATCTTCTTTTGATGTTTCTTGCACCACTCAATATTTTGCCCACAAAATCTTTCAGTATTGCAATTTGAGGCTAGATTTTTTCTTTCTTCAGTTCTTTCAGCTTGAGAAATCCTGAGTGTGTTCTTCCCTTTTGGTTTTCTAACTCCAGGTCTTTGCACATTTCATTATAATAATTGTCTCCTCAAGCTGCTCTTTGAAATCTTCTGTTCAGCTTTTTTATCTTGTCATTTCTTCCATTTGCTTTAGCTACTCTCTGTTCAAGGGCAAGTTTCAGAGTCTCTTCTGACATCCATTTTGGTCTTCTTGTCTTTTTGATGACCTTTTTGCTTTCTTCATGGATGATGTTCTTGGTATCATCCCACAATTCCTCTGGTTTTCGGTCAATGATGTTCAATGCATCAAGCCTGTTCTTCAGATGGTCTCTTAATTCAGGTGGGATATAATTAAGATCATATTTTGGCTCTCATTAATTAGTTTTAATTGTCTTCAGCTTCAACTTGAGCTTGCATATGAGCAGTTTGTGGTCCGTTCCGCAGTCAGCTCCTGGCTGAAGATATTGAGCTTCTTCATTGCCTCTTTCCATAGATGTAGTCGATCTGATTCCTGTGTATTCCATCTGGTGAGGTCGACATGTATAGCCGCCATTTACA